AAGACACGTTAATAGTATAAAAGCCTTTTTACATTCGTTGTCCTACGGTTCGGCTTTTCCTTTACACTTGGTCGCGATATCTCTATCAATAGATAATTTAACAATATGATCGATGCTGATGTTTCCATCTTTGTCAATAACATCTATATATTTTTATATATACATTTTACATAGCAAAAGAACTCCTCCTCAGGATATTCCAAATGCTTCATTTTCTCGATTTGCCTTGAGTCTACGTTTGATTCCACTTTGCACTTTTCCACGTGAGGAGCGACGATAGACTCCCATAATTCAATAGTATCTGGACTAATCTGATGACATTCATGCAGTATACGATTGAATAACTTTAATTACTTCCCTTAACAGCTATACTGGTGGAAACAAAAAACGCTAGTATTATTAAGAACTTCATGGTGGCTTCTTCAATTAATTTCTTTGGACATTTCTGCCGGTCTTTATACAAATTTGATAACCGTGATACTGCTGTCGTCCAATTATTTATGCAATGGTTATCTAATGAAATATTATGCACGAAAATAAACATCGACACGCCAAAAAAATCATCACCTTTGATTGACATTATTTTTCACTTTTCGTGCACGAAATGAATTTTTGTGGGTTTGCTGTCAGCGCCTAGTTTTGTAGAACGAGTCATATTAAGGATCCTTTCGTTCTCCTACCAATGAAATGGATTTTTCAAAAACGTTGGAGTTTCATAACAATCAGGAAGCGAATGCTCTCTAAAACAAAACTGTAACTTTGTCAGAATATTAAATTCTGGTATGTGATCTTTAGAGTAGAAACGCTCGAAATATTATTTCCCCAACATCAGGTTTGACCGAAAGTGACCCTAAATTTAAAAATTTAAATTTGCACCTAATATGTAGTTTTGGATAATTTATGCGAGGTGAGTCGAAAAATTAATAAATGTTACCTATTTTTTAATTTCGGTGCCCGCGTGGATGATCCAAAATCGTTCTCCACTAACTACACATCCTGCTACCCACTAACTACAGAAACCAATTTTTCCTGATTAGAACATCTGGCAAATTGTCATGAATCAATAAACATTTTGCGAACGAATATTTGAAACGGAAAAATCTGTAAAAAAATGTCTAAGGTCTCCTCAATTAGTCTGTGACCTAAAAAAACCTTGAATACTCTTTGCAGGCTCCCTCAATGGCTTTTGAAAAAGAAAACCCTTCGAAAACCTCTGTGTGAAAATTGAGTTTATTTTATAGGAGTGGACAAAACCATAAGGGGATAGAGGTAACAGCTATACAATAAATAAATTGAATTTACCATGCAAATTGCAAAACACCAAAATTACAGAGATTGGTAATCAAATTTAGGGAAAAATCGAAAAGTAACACAAAGGAAAAATACAAAAAAACTGTCGAACAAAAAAGGTGCCTGGAATCCTACATAATCGCAAAGAACTCAGGGATGGAAATATATAGCTGTGGCGAAAAGCTATAGCATTTATAAGATCGAATTAGCAAAATGAGAAGGTTCTTTAAGCACACCACATTACTAGTAAAGAAGAAGAACAAAAACCCTAAGAATCCTAAAATTAGAACTAGATTTCACGTTTAAAGAATAGGTACAGCACCAACACCAAAAGAAAAATGTTTGGCCGACGAAGGGGAAAAATTGGATTGTCAATAAAAATGATCCATGCGTCTCTAATTTTTTCGAACATATTTCTTTAAAATTTTCAGTTATATTTTCAGTTTCAGAATTCCGTGACACCTGTAATTTACCTGGAACAAGCTTAAAATTGTTAAAAAAAATAGCTAGTTCATATACATTTTGATTGATAGGGACGGGAGCGCTTTTATCCACTCTGCTTCATTGTACGAACAACAAAAACCTAAATGCAAGTTATGCGGGGAACACTGCGGTGAAAGAAAGAGGGCGGACGAAGGGCAGAAACTATCACTTGGCCAACGGCTACTGCATATTTCTGTCTTCTCCACCTCCTGACATCTGGCGCAAATGGGTAACAAGAAATCTCAAAAAGTTTAGAGTATGTTCTGATAAAGAAGGAGAGCTGCTATCAGGATAATTCTCAGGCTCTAGGGAGGTCGTGGGACTTTTTTGAGCGTTATCCTGGAAGGTGTACCAACATATTCCATAATGTCCCGCTTAGTAATTATAAATGTCCGGGTTTGGAGGAAAATTGGCTTAATTGTACTGTACTAATAGTTCTAGACATTTCAGATGCTTTGGCTTCGGCAGTCCCTTTGTCATTATGTCGGCAAATATTTCTATATATTCGATGTTTGGACTCTCCTCACAATTTCTCCCACAAAGTGATGTTTGACTTTAATGTGTTTCGTTCTGTTGTGGAAGACAGGGTTTTTTCGCCAACTTTATTGCTCCATTATTATCCCAGAACAATTGCTCCTTTAACTTTGTGCTCGAATCCGGGTTCTGTAGAAATCGATGTGGGTAAACCGATTCTTTTAGAGTTTCAGTTAATGCCATGTATTCTGCTTCTGTAGATGATAAAGCTGGAGTACTCTGCTTTCTCGATTCCCTCTAGATCGGACTTCCTCCAAGAATTAACGTGTATACCGTGTACAACCTTGTATTGTCGACACCGTTCGCGTTTCTTCAACCTCCTTATTCGCTACACCTGACTCCTGGCGACTTTTTTAATTAAAATCAAGCCCATGACAATAAAACAAATTCCTCAATATCATTGTAAGATATTGCAAAAGAAGACTATTTGATGAACAGAGAAACGAAATTACACTATGACCATAAATAATGGCATTTTATCCTTCGAAGATTCTCTAAGCAGGTTTTTCGAAACCTACTGACTAAGCGAATTTTATTGAATTGTCCCATCTGTAAAGAAGTGACACAAACCCAACAACCGTAATCGATTATTTGGTCCGATAACTTTTTATACATAAACAAGTATTGCGAATTCGTTAGTTACACTTTTTTTTCATTACGCGTGACTTGCAGGATTTTACTCATCATTACAATTTTTTTTCGCATGTTTGAATTTATAATTTTTTGAAATTTATCACTTTATATATATAGTTGTCATTAATTTCAATATCGTTTTTTATGATACCCCCATTTTTCACATTGCATTTACTTCTATGTGGATTTTCTGCTCCCGTCTTCATTTTGATTCTGGGGGCTGTGGTTTGGTCATTCACTGAAAGTGATGGAATCTTGGGAGGACCTCTGAAGAATTTCTTGTGAATCTCTTAGTAAAAGATACAAAAAACTTTTATACCAAGTGCCTATATGTATCAAATTTCCACACAAGAAGTCAGCTTGGTCTCTCAAACACCCTGGATGAAGCCCTCAACTCACCGAACCAGATAAACAAAGTTCTCAGATATCTAAATAACATCAATTACTGCTCCAAAATATGAACCCTTGCTTCACAAATATAATGTAATTTACCATTAGCCTATAAACTTATACACAACTGTATCTGTGTCAATGGCCTCAGATATGCTGAGACACATTAATCTCAATAAAATAAAAAGAAAATTTCATTCAAATACTTTCATAAACAAAATAGTCTGCAATTTATTCCATAAATGGTAGGGATGCGAAAAGGGCACTCTGAATGTTGAATCGATTAGACTCAATTTTTGGAATTGCGTATTATATGACTATGTCCACATTTAATTTCATGCAATTCGGTTCATAACTAATAGAGATGTCAAAAGGGCCTTCTTTATTTTTTTACCTATATTGCCAATTCACAAACTCCTATCCACAAATTTGATAAAGAATCCACCTAGAAAATTTCTTCGTAATCGGTCGATTCGTTATTGAGATATCGCGCTAAAGGACGGACGGACAGACACCGCATATAGGATTATGGTTACTTGCAAATATTATATTTCTAATTCAATTAATCAATATTAATTGAAAAGAATTTACCTTGTATTTCGATAGTGGATTCACACTGAATATAATTAACAAAATGCTTCTAAACTGCACATTTCTACATCTTTCCCCAATCAACGGGTATGCTGGATTACCTCCCGAACGCTTTTCTTACAAGTTTAAAGGTCCATTTCTTAAAAACAACATAAACAATTAGGCATGCTAGAAACGTAAATGTCTCGCCTTTATTGCTTTAGTCTCATAATGGAATTCAGGTTCTGCCTCACGTCATACATTATTAGTATGTGTTTAAGATCGTAAAAACCAACTCTGTTTTGTTAAACAAACTGGTTTATACGGAGAAGGGCACGTTACGCATATTAGTAATAACGAGGGTCCCATATATATGGACGTCAAGGAAATTACAAACCGCGTCCGCATTCGTTATTTCTATTTAAAAATTCCAGTTAAACATACAGATTCGTTTTGCTTAATTATCCCTTAATCACTCTTTACCCAGCAGCATCACTTCAGTACTTTTGATGGGGATGTGAGCTTGTAACATTTTAAGATTTTCCAAGTTCTAGAACCTTTATAATAGCATTTGAAAACCTTGGACCTATTCATGAGCCTTCAAAGGTTTTCAATGGCCTCGATGTGTTTCTAAGATCCTTCATAGACGCCTTGCATAATCGTTATGAGTATTTTAATATGCTTTTACCAGATTTAGTGGGTTCTAACCACATTGTTGTAATGGTTTTTAGAGTCTTTAAAAACCTTAAAAGATTTTCAATGGATTTTAAGAGACATAATGTTTTAAAAGCTAAGTCCTTAGGAGGTTTTAAATATTTAATATTTAAATACGCTTTAACATTAACAGATCTTTAAAAGTTGTTATCGTTAAGATTCTCCAAAAGCTTTCAGAGTCCTTGAGATACTCTTTAAAAGTTACCCCTTTAAAAGCTTTCCCTTTACTGACTCATTTTCATTTACTAGATCATCTAAAGCAGACAGTGCGCTAATAGAGGTTCATAAAGTGACCTTGACCACGACAACACTAATTTCTAACAAAAATACATACCTATGATTAACATGTATTAATTTTTCAATGTATAATAACTCTCTTTGGACAGATGACGATTGCGCACCAGACTCGACGTGTGAATTCTTCCTAACGTGTTGGATAAAAGGGGGGCTTCTAGAAGGTCCATGCGGGGGACTTTTTCGCGGATGTTGCCATCATGGATATTCGAAGACGGGCGAAAGCTCGAGCCAAGCGGTCGGTACTCTCGAGGCCCCCCGAGAAACCGCAAAAGCTCAGACTAGCCTTCTCGACCTAACTGATCGTAAGTTATGTACACCTCTGACTGTACCGACCGTCAGGCATAAAGCTCATTAATTATAATTAATTCATTTATAACTTCATTGTAGAGACTAATACAATTGATAATAACAATATTTGGTAGGTTTGCACGTGGGTAAGAGCACCTTCTTTGTAAATGCACGTAGCGATCAGACGATGTACATACAAAATATCATCATTAACAAGTAGATAGGTACGAGGAGGAACAGGAGAAAGTTAAAGGTGTTTGTAATCAAAATACGATAACGACCATCATGTCAATAATCTTCCAGTGTGAACTCAACTTTCACTTCACTTTTTCTTACTTTTGATGTTAAAATGAGTCATAATAAAGTATGGTACTTTCGTTGTAGGTTGTGGAATTTCAAGTCGACAACAGGCGCAAAGAAGGATAGTAGGAGGCGATGAAGCCGGATTTGGCACATTTCCATGGCAGGCTTATATCAGAATTGGTTCATCGCGGTAAGAAACCACTTTTTTTACTTAATCCGCATAATTGGTGTGAAATGACCATTATATATATTTCTTGATGTAATTGTTGCACCTTTATGTAAGCGTTGTAAATATTTTTAAATGGTCACGCGATATTGGATTACACTGCATTAGCTACACTTTATACCATTTCGTTGTGACACGATAAGGTATAATGAATGAAAATTGCCAACCTATCTAGTCAAGCTTGAGCTGCATATAATTGCACTATAATTTACAGTAGCTAAAATTCTCCTTGAATGACCTTCCTTTATTACTGTGAGTAATTTCACAGATCTACACATACACAGATTGCTAACCTTATGCATTTTTTGGGAAACAAATTTAGGTATACTTAAAAGCGCCCTCTATTGCGAAGCAGTATAAACATGTACCGTTTAAAACTGTAATATGACGCTTATGTATTTATGCATTAGATGTCGCTGCAAAAAATTTAAAGCGGTAAAGTGTGCATATAATTCAGTTTAATTGTATTTTACCAGGCAAGTTGTGGGGTAGTTTTGATTTATTTGATTCTATATGTTTTTTGGGGTGCTGAATCCGAATCTTAGGTTTGCTAACAAAATTTCATGACGCAACAAACGCAAAAAAATACAAAAAAGTTGAAAAAGATATTTTTTTTAGCAGTTTTGTGCTTACAACTCGAAAACTATCAACTTTTCGAAAATAACCTCCCTATCTTATATCTTATCGGCGTGGTAAAGAGTGTAACGTTAATGATGGCAGAGATATGCATAGTTTGTAAGTATGCCTTTGCGGTTAGCAATCTGTCAAGACCTTTAAAGCCGCAAATAGTTTCCGCCAACTTCAAAAAACCTTCACGGTTCTTTAAGGACCTGCCCTATGTTCGTGTGTATCTGTGACCACAGGGACCCGCTGTTAATAACTCCCTTACGACGAATGAGTAGCTCCAGTGCTAAATTAAACAATTATGGCTCAACGTACCTCCTATCATATCATACCACTGTAATAATACGAATATTAAGGAATTCGAATTGTGCAAACTTTAGCGCTTTAATTTTGTTTCAGCGACATCTAACGCATAAATCCATAAGCGTCATATTAGAGTTTTAAACGATACATGTTTATACTGCTCCGCAATAGAGGGCGCTTTTAAGTATACCTAAATTTGTTTCCCAAAAAATGCATAAGGTTAGCAATCTGTGTATGTGTAGATCTGTGGTAATTTTAAATCACAAGCGGCATATGGGGATATTGGTCCTTCGAGCCAGGTAGGCACGATAATCAGCGTGGGGCAATATTTCACCGTATTCCCTTACCAAATCCATATTTGATGCAAATTTCGCATTTATTTTTGAATACAATTTGTGGTAATTAATTACAATGACGCTAGCAGAGAAGCCTGTTTAGACACCAAATAAGTTTCCTTGTGATAATCAAATAAATAAACAAAAAATAATGAATTATTTCAAGTGCTTTATAATAAAAGTATGAAATGCGCATTTGAGAAAACCGACGGGGCAGCAAACACAATACCGCTCACATTTTAATGCACATTCCATCATCTAAGGAAGATGGAACATATTTAGATCTGTCCACATGCGTGAAACGAGGGAATAATATCGACAACCTCAAGTTCAAAATATCATGGACGCTTGGTGGGACCAAACAGGTGCAAGTGTGATGTATAAACCATAGCAAGGAGGTGGGATTTGAAAGAAGATTAAAAAATGCTGTGGCTACACAGTTATCACCCGCAGTATGCAATAGTTTAATGATGGGTTTATACAATCATTATCATTAGCTCACTAAGCTCATGATGGTTTCAATGGTTAGCAACGCGCAATAATCCTTTGTTTCTATTGGCTATTCCTTAATGATTTTTGATAGTGAACTAATGATAATAGTTGTAGGTATAAACCCACCATAACCACAATATGGAAAAACGTCAAAAATTGTCAGTTTTTTGTTACTTTGACACTTGTGCATGCGCGGTTTTGCCCAAAAGCTTTTCAGTGCTTCCTTTTAATATGTCTAAGAATGTGCGTACCAAATTGATTTTCAATCGGTTCTCCCGATAATGCCCTGATAATGGCCGTAAATGAAAGTACAGACAGACAGACAGACCAACAGATCAGGAAGTTGCAGCGGGAGAGTATCCTCATATTCTTTTAACAAACTACCTCTTTCTGGGTAAGACACTATGGCGCGCACAATGGATCCAAAGGTCAAAGTGTGTAGGCGTGATATAACCCAACCTAAGGAGGAAAAACACTGAAGAGGAAGACTTGAAAGAGGTATGATGTGGCACACACAAAATGTGGAAGACCTGAAAGAGACGCAAATGAAACGTGGAAGGCGAATAAGATGCATGAGAATGTGAAGGAGGTGCGAGGGAGAATTAAAGGAGGCATGAAAAGGAAAGGGAACAGTAAATGCAAAGAAGATGTGACGGATATATGAAGCATAGAGAAATAGGGAGCATGTGTGAGAGAAAGCGCGAGGAATGTAGTGGTTGCGATGTTATTTTGACGCTGGCAAGACGCAGGGGAAGGAAGTAGAAGAGATGCAAAAGAAACGGGGGATTGAAGGAAGCTTAAAGTAGGCGTGTAGGAAACGTGAGAGGAACGTGCCAAAACATAAAACAGGCGTGAGCTGAAGGAAATCTAAAAGTCCCTACGGAAAGAATGTGTACCAATGTGGAGGTTTGAAGCGGCCCGAAAGGGCGGATGAGTCTTGGAGATGCAGAGGAAGGATGTGAATAAGACACTAGCAAGACGTATGGAAGGGGTGATTCAGATTGAGATGTAACGCCAGGGAGGGGACGGTGGGGATCTGAAGAAACCTAATCCTAATGTCCGCGTCCTAATGTCCGCGTCCCCCCCCCCCCATGTCCGCGTCCTAATGTCTGCGGTCTAATGTTTTGCGGCCCATTGCCATAGCGCCGAGCGAAGGGTGTGCAATGAAAGCATCAAGCAGGATTTTATGGATCATATGAAAAAGACCTAAAGAATGTGTGTAGGTGGCGTCAAAGAGATGCAGTCGTCGGTATTAATATGTTTGCAAGAGAAATGGGTGTAAATGTAAAACGTAGTGATGAATACCCAAAGGAGAAGAGGCGTGATTGATATGTAAAGAAATTGTGAATTACGTAAGTATGATGCGTTAAGAAAACGTGAGGGAAAAGAGAGTTGGAAGGAGACGCAAAGGAAATCTGAAGAACGCGTGAAAATGGCGTATAGGTTTGAAGCGAGCATGAGAAGAGGATAAGTCACACAAAAAAAGTGAGAGAAGTGTTAGGAAGGTATGGTGAAAACAGGGAAACGGGATAAAGAGTGCGAAAAGAAAGCTCAAAGAATGTGTGTAGGAGTCATTAAGAGATCTGGAGGAGTAAATGAGACATGAAAAAGGCGCGAAGCAGATTTTAAGGGAAAGTATAGAATGCATGAGAGAGGTTTGATGATATGATGCAGGCATGACAGAGGGGTTGAAGGAGGGAGGAAAGAGAACAAATAAATAGACATATTGAAGAACGTATGATACCTGCGCAAAAAGAGGTGCTAGGAAGATGTGATTAATTCGCATCCAAATCATTTTTTGTTGTTAATTACGCAGAATATACTTTTATCGTATCTTTAAGAAATAAAAAAGTTTGCTATGTCCTTCTGTCTCTAGCGATATCGTATCCTCACATGTCGGAAAAAAAGGGGAAATTAAACTCATAAACGAAACGTATTTGTTGGATTTATAGTAAAAGTTTCAGTATCATCTGGAGAACTAAAGGTCCGAGTACTGACACGGAAAAACTGGAACGTCTGGACAGACGCATTTGGTCAAAAATTCAAGTGCGAATATATCAAGAGCAGAGTATAAGAATGGGCTTATAATAAGGTAAAATAACACTTCTGAATGAGACGTATCTTTTGATGGAGTCTAAATTTTGACTTCCACTCTACACTGAAAACATTTGCGAGTGGTCATAATGCTAATTATGCGGGTCTAGGGTGCATAATATCCAAAGAGCAACGTTTCCGGATGCGACTTATCCGGAAGCGAATTATGGGATGCGAAGAAGAACAAAAATAGGGCGAGGAAGGATTGAAAAAAGTCCTAACGGTGAAGCAGGAGAAAAGAGGACTGTCGTGGAAGCGTGAAGAACATTCTCGGAGGCATGAATGAAATCTGAAGGTTTCAGCACATCAACATACTTCATGATGGCTTGTGAACAGAACTGTAATGGACCGTAGACCCTTCCTCATTTATTTATTTACTTATTGCCCCTCTTGTTCTAGGCTTACGCTCAATTACATAGTGACCCGCATAATGCTTTTTAGAGGTGCCCCTGTAGAAGGTTTTAAGTTGTTCTATACTACTCCGATATCTACCTTACGAATTAAGAAAACTGCAGGAAAACCTAATTCAGAGGACCTCAGCCCAAGTTTGAACATCCGACCTCCGGTGTTGTAGCCCAACGCTCCACCACTGAGCTACAAAACCTTCCTGTGGAGGGCTGTAGCTTCTTTAGGATTCTGTAACGTGGTCTTGATGAAGAATTTGGCGGTCGCTGTCCTGGTACCCTCGACCAGTGATGGATCCTATTCATCTCCTCCCGCTGGCGGTGATCCGGTCATATTGACTTCTGCCTGGCTCCTTGTTTGGTCAAGTCAACTGCCGTCATGTTGCCTGCAATGTCCGAATGCCCTGGCACCCACCGTAGTATGATGACGGTTGCCATTTGCCAATTTCTTTAGATTGCAGATGCACTCCTTAAAAATGGACACACAATTTATTCAGAGTTTCAAGGCTAATCAAGAAAAATGAGTATAAACATTTTTTACGTTTCTTTGAGCGAAAGGTGTTCAATATTTGGGGTTACACGGATAGACCAATACAAATCTTTAAATACCCTACGCCAACTAAATATTATTCATATGAAATTTTCCTGTATCTACTAAAAGCCCACAATTTTTTTATAGATACACTAGACAGAGTAATTCTGAATGCCCCCATGGCTAGATGTAGTTGCAAGTTAAGTACTGGATCTGTAGCATCTTCATTGGGAAAATGCGAGGGAAAATGTTTCTTTCGTTGGAATGCAGCAGATGAAGAAAGAAAATTAAATAAATCTATCAAAAGAGGTCCTGGGTATATGGCTGCAGCTTGGCATGCGTATTATATGCTATACTAATTTTGAATTTCATGCAACTAACGGAGATGTCAAAAGGGCCTCCCTTATTTTTTGGCTTACATTGCCAATTCACGAACTCCGATCTACAAATTTGATCCCATCTGCAAAAAGTTCATCGTAATGGGTCCATTCGTTTTTGAGATATCGTACTAACAGACAAACGGACAGAAATTATGAACTCGCTAGGAGTTCTTAAATAATGCAAACTGTAGTTACGTAGATATAGAAATAAATTATTTCAAAGCTCTGTAAACTGGTCTGAAAAAATGGGCCGAAACCCGAAAACACACCCTCGTAGTTTTTCCACCGATTACTGAATATTGGGTGGGTATCAGTTCGAATACCCTTTGTAATGCATCTGTTTCTTTGTGTTAGGTAACATCTACATAACATAGGTATAATATAACATAATTTTATATCCATCAATAAAACATAAGCTGCACGGTCGTAACGTTACTAAACACACCGGAGGAAGACTTTTAAATAACGCATATTTTCCTATCTGTTTCGCTTTGTTGAGTTATTCAGAGTAGAACATTTAAGTCTATTACCTAATTCTAATAATATAGTGCGCTAGAACTAATAATTTTCGAAATATTTAAAGAAACATGCGTTTCTACATAATCACTCAACGTAAGTATGTTAATGATATTCAACTATCCGAATATATGTATATTCTTTAATTGTTGCATTGGTTCATCGTTTTAAACCTTCTAAACTTCTGTGAGTCATTGGAATTAAAGTACCTATGCACAGAATTTTGTTAATTTTGGGTTTATTTGTATAAATAGATTGATAATAAATTAAACGAAATTAATTTTCTATTTTGGGAGACTTATGTATAAAAATTCTTGATAATTACTGCCCGTGTATTTTGTGTTAAAATTACTGACATTTTTTTAAATGGGATACCTAAAAACAGGAAAAAGGGATAGTAATGTCTACATGTAAATATCTACCCATTAGCTAATACCATGTGAATAGGAAAAATTTAACCTTACCGTAGTGCTGGTGGCTATGACGAAATTGATACCAAAATGTTAAACTTACTACCGACAAAAGCTATTGAAGCCCTTCAACACATCATTAATTATTCGTTAGGGTTAGATCATACCGTATTCCCTGATCTATGGAAGCGTTCAGTTATCACTCCACTTGTTAAAGTGCAGAGTATATTATGCGCGATCTCCGACCGATAAATATTATCCCAGTGCTCTCAAAACTTATGGAGAAATACTCGTATATGCACGAACAGTTTGTGGGTTTTTAAAATCAAAATAAAATCTTGAACGAACAACAATCAGGTTTCAGAAAACACCACAGTTCAAATTCATCCCTACTGAAAATAGCAAACCATTTTTCATGTTGCTTTGATAAGCGAGAGGCCGTTTTCTTAGTGTGCTTGGACATCAGTAACGCTTTTGATACTGTAAATCACGAGCTACAAGAAAAAGAACTATATCCCACAATATACTGCTCTTCCGCATTGCACTACTGTATGTAATTTACGTATTATTCTCATTTGTATTGTTTCAATCCATGCGCTACTAATAAGCTTTAATAGACAGCAGTGTAAGCAATTACTACCTAATGGTAGTATTGTTAGTCAGTCGGGCTATTTAATAATCTAAGTATTTATTTTGCAACTTAATTTAAGCTTAGTAAACATTATGAAAGGGATTGTAAACTACTGCGATTGGCCGTTACATTTGCAATCAGAGTTGTTTCATTCGAAGTCTGGTTTTTGTTTGTGGGGTAGTACTGGACTAAACGATTTTGATTATCATATACCACTCTTCATCCACCACATTTCTTCATGATATTCTGGGCGTTTTCTTTCTGTCACCTTCAATCCATCTATCCCACACGCCCGTACAATATTGTATATGTTATGTCATTTTGTATTCCCATTATTTGCTGCCTACTGTCTTCGTCCCCCCTGTTAAGTCTTCTATTTCCCCTTCGCCTGTTGTTAAATAATATATTTTAAATACAGGGTGAAAATGTTGTCTCGAACACTCTTCATTCATCTTTCATTAAATATTATTCAAGAGTACACTTTTTTGGACACAGTAGCATAAAAAATTATTATACTAGGTACATATTCAAATTTAAGAGAAAACCTGAAATTAAAGACAACAGTTCTTAATTTTATAATTTCACTAATTTGCGTTGAAAAAAAGCGTTATTCTTTAGTTATTCTTAGGTACAGTTCTTTTACTTGTATTTTGCATTCTTTTTCGTTGTATGCAATGAATTTTTCTAAAACGTTTCCACTTAGGCCTCCACTTCATCGTTGGCTTTACTGGCTTGTGGTCCGCACTGTACTTGTTTGGAAAGCTCTTTTGTCCGTTTTCTCTGCCAGAGTCGTCTTCCATTCGATCCATTCGCATTCCGAGGTTTGGCGTGATGGCGTCTTTCTGATGAACCTGATGAAGCTAGAAAAAGTTGGTGGGAAAATCAATGTAATGAGATAGAAAAGCTTGAAGCAAAAGAAGGCACGATATTATTTACAACAGGATTAAAGGGGTTATCAGCGATAGATCATCAAGAGTTGGTTATTGCAATGAGGTGCAATACAGGATTGGAAAAGTACTGAAAGAAGAGGAAATACATAACACATAACACTTACACTGGAAACATAAAAATCGGTCTGTCCAGACAATACTGGAGACAGTATTATACTTAATGAAGTGGAAAGAGCAATGCGAGATGTGAAATCAGGTAAAGCTAAATGGAATTTCAGTGCAGATATCTGTCTTCATGAAGTAAAAAATTAAACAACTAACATCTCCATGTAATGATATATAGGGTGGTGACTTGCGTCACGCATCATAGGGATTTCAATGTAAAATTCATAACATGCAACTATTGGCTCCCCAAATTATTTTAGAGCAAAAATGTATTAAAGTTTTTTGTAGAAAAAAATCTTTACGTCAATAAACCGTATTAGTTTTCAATTTTTTACATAATAAAGACGGAAAATTGGAAAAATAAAACCCGCATCTTTTGCAATAATCTGCGATGCCATGGAATTTTCTAAAACAAAAAGATGTCCAGTTATCAATTAGCAGTAGTTCGAAATGGATTTTATGATTGACTTGGTTACTGCCTTGCAGTTAATGGTGACTTATTCGAACATTTATTGTAAATTGTTATATTAGGAAACCGTTTTTAGTCATTTGGTCTTTCTTTATGTTGAATTCGCTGTTCTAAATATAATACTTTTTGATAGAATTTGATTTGTTTTATAGCAGACATTCCATGGCATGACGGATATTGTAGTTTTTGTATTATAAAATTCCATGGCATCACAGATTATTGAAAAAGATGCGGGTTTTATTTTTCCAATTTTCTGTCTTCATTATGTAAAAAATTGGAAACTAACGCGGTTGATGACGTAAAAAATTGTTGTCTATAAAAAAACCTTAATACATTTTTGGTCTAAAATAATTTGGGGAGCCAATAATGGCATGTTATGAATTTTACATTGAAATCCCTATGATGCGCGACGCAAGTCACCACCCTGTATATGAATCGAGGGAATGAGCAGAAATAGTTGGAAATAAATAAAAAGGGCATTGGAATGGCCAATGAAGCATTTGTAAGGAAAAATAGAATACTGTGCAGCAAATTGGACATGAATCTAAGGAAAAGAATAGCAAAGTGCTTGGAATGGAGTGTTATGCTGTACGGATTTGAAACGTGAACGCTTTAGAAATAAGAATTGACGGTACACAGTTTTCTACACAGAAGTACGGGGAGTTTTTTTTGTGCTTCAACCCAAAGTACTTCGGAAGAACATTTAATAGTGGATGTTTTTTTTTTAGTAGCCCACATCCGTCTCGGTTTCAGCGAGCACGTCAGTTGTATTCATTCAATAACAATAATTTTTAATTTTTAATAACCAATATTAAAACCGAGTTATTTTTTATTAGATCCATAAACGGATCATTAAGTAGAATTATTGTTCAGTTTAAGGGTTTCGTTATGGACACATAAAATTGATTATATCACTGGGCACATATTATATGCGTAACATTTCCTAACCAAATTAAGGTGTTCAACAAACTATTTCTTTTATTACATAGGAAGAAATTAATAGAACTGTTACGAAAGTTTAAAAATGGCACAGTTGTAACGAATATACAACATGGTCAATTATGACGCAAGTCGTTTTAAAACAATGGATAATTTCATTATAGGCCCAATAAAGTTTGCCGTCTTAGAACTCACGAAATGCTTCCAAAAGTTGTAAACTATAGTCATTGTCACGTCGACCACACGAAATTAAATCCGATGCGTTGCGAAAACCTCCTTTCGTACAATGTTCTTCAACGGGATGCAATAGTTTAATTAACCGCAATAAGTATATGCAGCAATGCTACTTTCATGAAAATTTTACGCTTTCGGCGATTATTTAAACGTACAGCTAGATTAATAATTTCCTTTATTTAAATAAAGTAGCACTTCCTATAATCTATTTTTCAATTTCAGATGCGGAGGTTCGTTGGTCAGCAGAAAGCACGTCGTGACTGCTGGACATTGCGTTGCGAGAGCAACCCCTAGGCAAGTGCACGTCACGCTCGGCGATTACGTGATTAATTCTGCTGTTGAACCGTTACCTGCCTACACGTTCGGAGTGTCTCAAATTCAGGTTTGGTAAACATTCTTTTTTTCATTTGAATTTTGATTTTTTATTACTGTGTTACAAGGGGATCGAAAACACTAGTATCGTTTCCTTTACTAACCCGGAAATGTTAATATGATCCTTCTGAATTCGACTTGCAAATATATAGACCATTGGTCGAAAAATAATATGGCATTTACAAAGGTAATGTTATTACCGTAATTTGTTAAGAATGTAGAAACAATGGTTTGGTTATGGCTTTTAATTTACCGGAAGCCCGTCTATTTTTATTGTAAACTAGCTGTCCCGGCGAACTTCGTACCGCCTTGTCGTAGATGACCCTACAGACATTGTCCTGTCTTACCTATAAATATTTATATTTAATTCGAACGGAAATTAAAAAACTGAAATAAAAAATATTATTTCCAAAGTACATTCTTTATTGTTGTGCTAAACAATTAATAACTTAAGTTTGATTATGTATATTTTTAGTCGTGGTACCCAGAAAGGTTTGTCACTTTTCGATTGAATGCTATTTCTTGAAGTGCATTTGGAGACACAATTTTTTTTATTTTTCATTTGGAACGATGAAAAATAAAATGTTGTATGTACCTCAGGCATTACTCAATATTTAACCCTCGGGCGACTTACAATCCCTCGAGCCGGAGGCCCTCGGGCTCTGTCGCCCTCGGCATAAATATCGCCAATGCCCTTGATGTATAAATAACTATTGTTTTTCCTTCTGGTGCGTACACAAATAAATCGGAAGGTTTTCCAACGCGTGAGCAGGGCACATACAGCTGGCCATGTGAGAAGCACCGGTATTCCAAATTCAATCCACACACTTGTAGCGACTGCCCTTGCGCTTTATTTATGGTCATTCTAAAGGCGAGACGCATCGGAAACTGCAAACGTTTGAATTCGAATGGTATATCTGTTATAATCATTGGGATGTGTGGCAACAGTACATCTTGGACTGTAAATTTCCTTTTAAAATTGTAGCTTCGATTATGTTGTTCATCAGCACTGTAGGCCTGGTACCATTACAATGTTGTGGTGGATTGATGTTTCGTAGAAGAATTATGAGCACGCCAGTTTTCAATGTTGTTGATGGTGGTGGCAATGCTCTTGCACGTACATTTTGTGCCCTGAGGTACACGCGCTGGCCATTTTCAAGGTGCACCGCCAAATGAACAACTGTTGGATGTCGTTCATGGATTGGAAATGATAAAATACGCCATACTGCTTCATTACTATACTGATGTAGCGCCCCAGTTCATATTAATTGATTTCATCATGTCCATGAACCTAGCAGAGCAAGATCAGCAGAACACAATCAAACATATTGCATAATTAGGTGCTAATTAAGTGCCATATTCCTGAATTAAATGCTCCAAAATTATTACATGTTCAGCCAGGTTCATAATTTAAAAAAAAGGAGCATTTAATTCGGGAATAGGACACTTAATTAGCACCTAATTATAGTTAGTTAACTTTTCATTTTCTTGGTTTTTTGAGGTAGTGCTCTGCTGAGTTCATATGAACCTGGCAGAACATGTAATAATTTAAAACAAAAGGAGCATTTAATTCGGGAATAGGGCATTTAATTAACACCTAATTATGCAATATGTTTGATTGTGTTCTGCTGACCTTGCTCTGCTAGGTTAATGGACATGATTTAATCTGTAGATCCAGTTGCATTTCCCAAACCAAAAACTGCTAATTATATCGATTTCACCGAATTGCAATACTTACTCGGCATTGATGTGTGCTTTGTACGTCTTCGATAGCAACGGTGAATACGGGACAACCCAACTATTATCGACTTCCTACTTTTAAAGTGTTTCACCAAAAACCTATTACCTACTTAGCAATGAAATCCATTAAATCCAAACAGTCAGAAAGATTATACGACAGGTAAACACTTGCGAAAAATCGCCTTTACAATTACATCCTTTTAAGAATGCACAACAGTTGTAAATTATATTGCACTTCGGGTTTCGTGCTTGTATATAGATCAAAGCGTTGCCATCCTTTCTTTCTTGTAAACCTAACAGACTAATCCTTTACCTGTACCTACCCGCCGTAAAACGGAATGAGTCATTTTTAAAACAAGTTGTAAATCAGCATATGCATGATTAAAGCGCATTTTTGGTAATGCAGGTCAGTATTTTATTAGCGAAGTTTAAAATTATCGATCTCACGAGTAATTTTGGCTGCGTTAAATAATTAATTTTATTTAATTTCAATTGACGGTACGTCTTCATTTTGTAAAACAAATCGCAAAGTAAATAATAAGTTTTTATACTGGTAGCGCTATCTAACGGTAAAATTATAGTACCTCCGAAACCCATATCGAAATTATTTTCTTCAATTATCGATCTCACAAGTAATCTAACTCAAAATAGACTAGTGCCTGCACATCTACACTATAGCAGAAAGCTTTTAGTGAAAATTTGAATTCTCTAGCTATTGTAGTTGTGGAGATCTAACGCGGACAGCCGGCCTGCCAGCAATGACGAATATAATAGCGTATTTTTTTCAAAAATGCGCTAAAAAAATGTAGGTATAGGTAAGGGATTCTGATAAAAACAATCAACATTTGGAATGAATTTTATGAAATGTTAAATAATGAAGCGCATGGAATGTAGTGTATAATGCGAGGTATAATGAAATAAGCATTTAAAAATTGCGAAAATTAAATTGCCATTGTTAGGTGTTTATAAAAAAAACGTTCGCAGTCATTCGTCCTGCAACCGGATGAACAGTTTAGGGACGTACGTGTAACCCCAAAAGTTTAGTCGCAATCGGATGAACGGTTTAGGCGCCATTAGGGACATACATACGTGCAGATAGACAGACAGACAGTTTTTTTTTATTATATAGAAACCTTCTCGGACATATGTCCAACTATTCCCCAAAGTTTCATCGCAATCGGATGAGCCGTTTAGGCAGGCAGAAGAGACATACAAACATTCATTTTTATTTATATAGATTAGACGAACTAAAAATTAGGGAGTGTTTCGACACAAAGAGACCATATTATGCATTATATGGGGTGGTAAAAACTTAAGTTTTATTGATTTTACACGACAAGATCTATTAAGAAAGTTCGATTCTCTGTAAATATGAAACAAATCGATTTTGCGGACAAGGTTATACACTGCTTTATTAAAATGTTGATTTTTGTATGTAACGTGATTGGATTGCAAGCGTAACTAGTCTAGTTTAAAAAAATCTACTAAGAAAATTCGCCTGTTCATCTGAGACGAGTTACGTTTCGATTGATAATGTGATTTATTGGCGGTTTTCCAGAATATCTGAAAACTTCCCTGTATTAAACCTTTAAATTCTTTCCATAAGCACAGTTTGTTCTAGGAACTACGAAAAACGAATTGATTAACTCTTACCTACTATAAGAATATCGCACTGGGGATGACATACGGTAGGAACCTGATGATTTGCAGCTCATAGATACATATTCTCGTAGTGAATAATAACGAAGTCGCGAATATCGTCCGTTACTTTTACAGTGCCTAAAGGGCGCATGATTTTTTAGACAAACTTTTTCTATTGTCTAAAAGTCTAGAAAATTTCAGTTTCCAGAGTTTCAGAAAAATTTGAAGCTTCTGAGGCATATTTTGATGGGTTCCTGAATTTTGAGAAATTTTGCTTCTTACTGTGTTGTTTTTTTTTTCATTTTCAGTATTTGCACTCGAAAACCGTAAGAGATACAAAACAGCAGTTATGCAGAATTTCATGGTGATTCCATTTCTTTTCAAAGATATCAAAAAATAATTTTAACAAAACCTTGGTGAATTTTTTGACGGAGTGGTTGGCCACAGACGAAAAATTCACCTCAACCCAGGTTCGAACACCTGACCTCCGGATTTATAGCCCAACGCTCTACCACTGAACCATAAAGCCGGTCAAAATACCTAATATAAGTATTTTAAAGGTAATATATGCCTCAAACATATCAAGGATCCCTTTAACAACGCCGTGCCCCCCCCTCCTTCCAGGGGCGCGCCCCCCCAGCTTGGGAAACACTGTCTTAGGAAATTATACCAGTGGAACGCCGTCTTTGAAACTATCAGAGAATTGCGAAACTCTGAAATTAAAATATTAGGCCCGAAACGGATTTGTTTTGGAATCCTCAGTGGGATCTTGTTTTAGACATAGACATTCAAAAGCAAACCTTGGGGTCCATTCCAGAAGCCGTCTTAGAAAGTACCTTAGGAATCATCTCAGAAGAGTTCTTGGAAAAATTCTTAAAATCCTTTTAAATAAGTCTCTTATCTTATTAAAAGTTAATTGCTAGAAACCTCAGTAGAACGTTGTTAGAATTCTCGTTATAAAGGCTTCAGTTTAGGTTTATTGAAATCTTCCCAAATGTTAAAAATGTTGCCTTACTAGGGTTTCCTTAGAAACCTTTTTTTTAATATTTGTGATTTTACCAATTTCCATAAAAAATTCTTTAACATTTAAGACATTTTATAATTGTACACAATATTAGAAGCCTTCCCAATAATTTTGTAGATACCTTTACTGCAAATTTTTTTTATAAAACTGTTTAACCTTTTCTTAAAAGGACAATTGAGAAACTTAGGAATCTCGGCAATCATCCTACTTATTTTAAAAATTCCGCTAACCTTGTTTTTAAAAGTTTCATTAGTAATCTTTTTGCAAAACACCTTGTCTTCTTGAAATGTCTTTAGAACACTATTTTAAACATTTTTAAATGTTTTTTAGAAATATTCCCATGAAAATTTGGAGAAAATGTCTTTTTGAAAACTTTTTTAAGGGTCCGAACATTCAGGCACCCCAAAAACGATCAATTTCCTGAGGGGTCTCCAAGATTCAAGATTCTCGAAGCTATGGGATTTTGGCAAATATCAACAGATTTATTAAAATGCACTTAATAATTGTGCGCTATTGTTTATTGTCGCATAACGAAATACAAATCCCAAAACAAAATGAAGATGTAATCGTTTATAATTTCTCTTTACGCTCTGTTTATATTTTATCTACTAAAC